CAACTTGTATGCAGAACACATCATGCGATGTGCAGGGCTTGATGAATGCAAGGCTGGGGAAGAAATTGCTGGAAGAAACAATAACAACCTTAAATATGCAGATGACACCACTTTGATGGCCGAAAGCGAGGAGGAGCTGAGGAGCCTTCTAATCAAGGTGAAAGAAGAAAGTGCAAAAGCTGGGTTGCAGCTAAACATAAAAAAAAAAAACAGGATTATGGCAGCCAGACTGATTGATAACTGGCAAATAGAGGGAGAAAACGTGCAGTGACAGACTTTGTATTGGGTTGTTGTAGGTTTTTTCGGGCTATATGGCCATGGTCTAGAGCAGGGGTTCTCAAACTATTTATTTATTTATTTATTTATTTATTTATTTATTTGCTGCATTTGTTGACCGCCGCTCTCAGCCCTAGGGTGACTCGCGGCGGTGTACAACATATAAAAACAGTTTACAATAAGGCACAACAAGAAATCAACATATCAATAATACACATTAATCTAAATTACACTAGCTAATCCACATCGTCACAACATAGAATCATAACCAATCTCGTAATCCGTATACCGTTCCAGTTGTCCTTACCAGTCAATGTAGCACTCAGTTAAATGCCTTCTCAAATAGCCAGGTCTTTAGGCTTTTACGGAAAGCCATAAGGGAGGGCGCCTGTCTGATGTCAACAGGGAGGGCCGGGGGCCAAACTAAGGCCCGGGGGCCAAATGTGGCCCTGCAAGGTCATTTTCCTGGGCCTCGCTCAGGGTCAACCTAAGTCTGTAATGACTCAAAAGCACACAACAACAACAACAACAACAACAACAACCAAAAGCAAGCCCACACTTCCCATTGAAATATTAATAAATTTATATTTGTTAAAATTGTTCTTCATTTTAATTATTGTATTGTTTTAAGTGGTTTTTGCACTACAAATAAGATATGTGCAATGTGCATAGGAATTCATTCATATTTTTTTCAAATTATAATCCAGCCCTCCACTAGTTTGAGGGACTGTGACCTGGCCCTCTGTTTAAAAGGTTTGAGGACTCCTGGTCTAGAGGCATTCTCTCTTGACATTTCGCCTGCATCTATGGCAAGCATCCTCAGAGGTAGTGAGGTCTGTTGGAACTAGGAAAAGGGGTTTATATATCTTTGGAATGATCAGGGTGAGACAAAGGACTCTTGTCTGCTGGAGCAAGGTGTGAATGTTTCAACTGACCACCTTGATTAGCATATAATGGCTTGACAATGCCTAGAGCAAACTTTTGTTGAGAGGTGATTAGATGTCCTTGTTTGTTTCCTCTCTGTTGTTGTGCTGTTGTAATTTTAGAGTTTTTTAAAAAAATACTGGTAGCCAGATTTTGTTCATTTTCATGGTTTCCTCCTTTCTGTTGAAATTGTGGGTGGAGCTGTGGGTGGGCTGGTCCATGAGGTCACGAAGAGTCGGAAGCGACTGAACAAATGAACAACAACATGAGAAAAAAGGGAGACCTCAATTCTAGAGAAGAAATTTAGGACTTCAGGTCACGCAATAATTAATGATATAGGAATAGTTGTTTTTCCTTTAAGCTTTGCAACACCCCTTTTGGAAATTAATGATTTTCCTATCCCCATCACATGTTTTTCTTCATTCAGCTTTCTTATCAAATTATCCATGAGACTGGAATATCCATAGATTTTGATCTCCACAGGGGTCTTGGAACTGGACCTCAGGACCCTTTTTGCACTGCAATATAATTCATAATATCAAAGCAGATATCTGATTTGAAGTGGATTACACTCTCATACCATCCAGTTCAAAGCAGATAATCTGGATTTTTATACAGCTCTGTAGGTAAAGGGTATTTCAGATAGTAAAAGTGAGATTATTTACTGTATTTCACTTGATAATCTTACCTTTACTATCTGAGTACACTGCTATATAATCCAGTTCAAAGCAGATAATGTGGATTTTATACAGCTGGGAATAGAATCATAGAGTTGGAAGAGACCTCATGGGCCATCCAGTCCAACTCCCTGCCAAGAAGCAGGAAAATTGTGTTCAAAGCACCCCTGACAGATGGTCATCCAGCCTCTGTTTAAAAGCCTCCAAAGAAGGAGCCTCCACCACACTCCAGGGCAGAGAGTTCCACTGCTGAACAGCTCTCACAGCCAGGAAGTTCTTCCTAATGTTCAGATGGAATCTCCTTTCTTGTAGTTTGAAGCCATTGTTCCACATCTTAATCCCCAGGGCAACAGAAAACAAGTTCGCTCCCTCCTCCCTGTGACTTCCTCTCACATATTGTATACATGGCTATGATGTCTCCACTCAGCCTTCTCTTCTTCAGGCTAAACATGCCCAGCTCCTTAAGCCGCTCCTCATAGGGCTTGTTCTCCAGATCCTTTATCATTTTAGTCGCCCTCCTCTGGACACAATCCAGCTTGTCAATATCTCTCTTCAATTGTGGTGCTCAGAATTGGAAACAATATTTCAGGTGTGGTCTAAGTAAGTAAGTATTGTATAATATTATAATATTATTATCAATAATTGTGAATTATCTGGTTGTGTGGAGGGGCCCCAAGAAAGCGATATCAGCAAAAAGGTTTAATTTTTGTTGAGTTCCAGGGCCAGAGAAGCAGATGGCGGAAACAGAAGAATGGCCTGCCTCAGGGGAGCGTGCTTGCTCCATCCATGTTCAACATCTACACAAATGACCAACTACTGCCAGAAGGGACAGAGAGCTTCATCTATGCTGATGATCGTGCCATTACTGCTCAAGCAGGGAGCTTTGAGATGGTTGAACAGAAGCTCTCCGAAGCTCTAGGTGCTCTTACTGCCTATTACAGGGAAAACCAGCTGAGCCCTAACCCATCTAAAACACAGACATGTTTTCATCTCAAGAACAGAGAAGCATCCCGAGCTCTGAAGATCACCTGGGAAGGAATCCCACTGGAGCATTGCAGCGCACCCAAATACCTGGGAGTCATTCTGGACCGTGCTCTTACCTACAAGAAGCACTGCCTGAACATCAAGCAAAAAGTGGGTGCTAGAAACAATATCATACGAAAGCTGACTGGCACAACCTGGGGATCACAACCAGACACAGTGAAGACATCTGCCCTTGCGCTTGTGCTACTCTGCTGCTGAGTATGCATGCCCAGTGTGGAACACATCTCACCACACTAAAACAGTGGATGTGGCTCATAATGAGACATGCCGCATTATCACGGGGTGTCTGCGCCCTACACCACTGGAGAAATTACACTGCTTAGCCGGTATTGCACCACCTGACATCCGCCGGGAAGTAGCAGCCAATAGTGAAAGGACCAAGGCAGAGACATCTCCAGCTCATCCCCTGTTTGGGTATCAGCCAGCACGTCAATGACTTAAATCTAGAAATAGTTTTCTAAGCTCTACAGAGACACTCGTTGGAACACCTCAGCAAGCGAGAGTCCAAAAGTGGCAGGCTCAAACCCAGCACCTCAACCAATGGCTGATACCAAATGAGAGACTCCCTCCTGGGCACACAGAAAACTGGGCGACTTGGAAGGCGCTGAACAGACTGCGCTCTGGCACCACGAGATGCAGAGCCAACCTTAAGAAATGGGGCTACAAAGTGGAATCCATGGGAGGAGAGCAAACCACTGACCACCTGCTGCAATGCAACCTGAGCCCTGCCACATGCACAATGGAGGACCTTCTTGCGGCACCACCAGAGGCATGGAGTGCCGCAGGTTTCTGTCCTGGGCCCGGTCCTGTTCAACATCTTTATTAATGACTTAGATGAAGGGCTAGAAGGCATGATCATCAAGTTTGCAGACGACACCAAATTGGGAGGGATAGCCAATACTCCAGAGGACAGGAGCAGGATTCAAAACGATCTTGACAGATTAGAGAGATGGGCCAAAACTAACAAAATGAAGTTCAACAGTGACAAATACAAGATACTCCACTTAGGAAAAATGAAATGCAAATGAAATGCAAAGATACAGAATGGGGGAAGCCTAGCTTGAGAGCAGTACATGTGAAAAAGATCTCGGGGTCCTCATGGACAACAAGTTAAACATGTGCCAACAATGATGTGGCGGCAAAAAAAGCCAATGGGATTTTGGCCTGCATCAATAGGAGCATAGTGTCTAGATCTAAGGAAGTCATGCTCCCCCTCTATTCTGCTTTGGTTAGACCACATCTGGAATATTGTGTCCAATTCTGGGCACCACAATTCAAGAGAGATATTGACAAGCTGGAATGTGTCCAGAGGAGGGCGACTAAAATGATCAAGGGTCTGGAGAACAAGCCCTATGAGGAGCGGCTTAAGGAGCTGGGTATGTTTAGCCTGAAGAAGAGAAGGCTGAGAGGAGATATGATAGCCATGTATAAATATGTGAGAGGAAGCTAAGGGGAGGAGGGAGCAAGCTTGTTTTCTGCTTCCTTGGAGACTAGGACACGGAACAATGGCTTCAAACTACAAGAAAGGAGATTCCATCTGAACTGAGGAAGAACTTCCTGACTGTGAGAGCCGTTCAGCAGTGGAACTCTCTGCGTCGGAGTGTGGTAGAGGCTGCTTCTTTGGAAGCTTTTAAACAGAGGCTGGATGGCCATCTGTCAGGGGTGATTTGAATGCAATACTCCTGCTTCTTGACAGAATGGGGTTGGACTGGATGGCCCATGAGGTCTCTTCCATTCTTTGATTCTATGATTCTATGATTCTAAGGTGGTCAGCTGAAACATTCACACCTAGCTTCAGCAGAGAGCTCTTTGTCCCACCCTGGTCATTCCACAGATATATAAACCCATTGTCCTATTTCCAACAAACCTCACTACCTCTGAGGATGCTTGCCATAGATGCAGGCGAAACGTCAGGAGAAATGCCTCTAGAACATGGCCCTATAGCCCGAAAAAACCCACAAGAACCTAGTGATTCCAGCCATGAAAGCCTTCGACAATGCTATGACAACCGTTTGAGGGCGGGGCTATCCCCGGCGCCCCTGTCACGTGACAAGGAAAGGCTTCAGGCTTTCTGGTCCAATAGGCGGCGCCCAGGGTCACGTGAAAGGGGCGCTCATGGCCGAGGGGGTTGGAAGCAGTAGCTGAGGGAGAAAGGAAGAGAAGGGACGGGAGGGGAAGGGAGGAAGGGGTCACCGGGCAGCTGAAGGGAGAAGGAGGAGAGGGAGCAGCTCCGAGGGGAAGCGGGCTCCAAGCCATGTCCATGGAGGACCCCTTCTTCGTGGTGAAAGGGTGAGTAGGCCGGGGCTGAGGCCTAGCTCTGACTGAGCGGAAGCTGCGAGGGAGGTGGACTCCACTTGGTCCAAACAGTTCCATTGTTTTCCTTTTAGACAAGTTCATTAGAGGAAAGGTTCGGGGTTTTTCCCCCTATGTATATGTGTATGTCAATATCTATATCTATTTGTATTTATATCTATACTAGCTGTCGCCTGCCACGCGTTGCTGTGGCCCAGTCTGGTGATCTGGAAAATAAAGTAATGAGAAAGTGTTGGTTTCTAATATATGTAATTTCTTTGTGCTTGTGGGTAAACAGTATTTCTTGCTGTTAGTTTGTCAGTGTTGATGTGGAGAGTGTCTGGTTTGCCCACCCTGGAACATGCAAGATATCATTGTCCTTCTTTAAGGGTCCCTTTCAAATCTATGATACCAGGGGACAGCACCGTCTTGTCTCCTGTATTTGCCATCAGTTGGGGACCCCTTCCCCCAGCACCAACTGCCACTCTGGGCCGGAGTGAAGAAAGGGGGGCCAGGGAACAGTTCCACCTTGTCTCCTGTGCTATTCTAATAATATGTTATAATATAATATATAATATATTGTGTATACATATAATATTTATAATATTGTAATGTAATGCAATATAATACTACTACTAATAATATGATATTATAATTATATATTTATATTACATGTAATATTACTAATAATATTATGGTATAATTGATATAGTGCAATATAGCAATATTTAAAACTGATATTGTACTATGTTAATAGTATATTGTATGTATATATACCTTGTAAGCCGCTCTGAGTCCCCTTCAGGGTGAGAAGGGCGGCATATAAATGGTGTAAATAAATAAATATGTGTGTGTGAATCATATCTATCTATCTGTATCTATGGCTGGGTGGGTCTTTGTCAGGAGGGCTTTGATTACGTTTTCTTGTCCTGGTGTAGGGAGCTGGACCACATGGCCTTAATTATGGGGGTTCTGTGTGGGAAGTTTGCCCCAATTCTGTCATTGGTGAGGTTCAGTATGCTCTCTGATTGTAGGTGAACTGTGAATCCCAGTGACTACAAATCCCAAATGTCGTCTATTTTCCCCAAACACCATCTGTGTTCATATTTGGGCGTATTGAGTGCTTGTGCCAAGTTTGGTCCAGATCCATCATTGTTTGAGTCCACAGTGCGAGAAGATCCAACCAGTCCATCCTCCAGGAAATAAAGCCCGGCTGCTCATTGGAGGGAAGGATACTAGAGACAAAGTTGAAGTACTTTGGCCACATCATGAGGAGACAGCAAAGCCTAGAGAAGACAATTATGCTGGGGAAAGTGGAAGGCAAAAGGAAGAGGGGCCAACCAAGGGCAAGATGGATGGATGGCATCCTTGAAGTGACTGGACTGACCTTGAAGGAGCTGGGGGTGGTGACGGCCGACAGGGAGCTCTGGCGTGGGCTGGTCCATGAGGTCACGAAGAGTCGGAGACGACTGAACAAATGAACAACAACAACAACAGTGCTCTCTGGATGTAGGTGAACTACAACTCCCAAACTCAAGGTCAATGCCCACCATACCCTTCCAGTATTTTCTGTTGGTCATGGGAGTTCTGTGTGCCAAGTTTGGTTCAATTCCATCGTTAGTGGAGTTCACAATGCTTTTTGATGGTAGGTGAACTATAAATCTCAGCAACTACAACTCCCAAATGACAAAATCATAATTTTTTGAGTGATGGTCACTCCTTGTGTTGTGAGATGTTTTGTTGCCAAATTTGGTGTGATTTCGTTCATTGGTTCTTTTGTTTTTAAGGTACTCATTATGCACAGAGCATTTTTATAGATGTAGAAGATAAATAAAAATGTAATGTTCATTTGTGGGATTAACATAACTCAAAAACTACTGTATGAATTGCTGCCAAATTTGGCCACAAGGCACCTACTAACCCAAGGAGTGACCATCACACACACACACACACACAAATGATTTTGTCATTTGGGAGTTGTAGTTGCTGAGATTTATAGTTTACTTCAAATCAAAGAGCATTCTGAACTCCATCAATGATGGAATTGAGCTAAACCTGGCACACAGGACTCCCAACACGAACAGAAAACACTAGAAGGGTTTGGTGGGCATTGACCTTGAGTTTGGGAGTTGTACTTCACCTACATCCAGAGAGCATTGTGGACTCAAACAATGATGGATCTGGACCAAGGTTGGCACTAATATTTCATATGCCCAAATATGAATACAGATGGAGTTTGGGGGAAATAGACCTTGACAATTGGGAGTTGTTGTTACTGGGATTTATAGTTCATTTACAATCAAAGAGTATTCTGAACCCCAGAATTGGGGCAAACTTCCCACTCAGAATCCTCATGCCCAACAGAAAATACTTAAAGCCATCCAGTCTAACTCCTTCACCAGGGCAAGAAAACGTAATCAAAGCCCTCCTCACAGGAATCCAGCCACAGATATAGATAGATATATATGATTCACACACACACACACAGATATAGTATCATGGATTTGAAAGGGACCCCTAAAGAAGGACAATTATATGTTGCATGTTCCAGAGTAGGCAAACCAGACAATCTCCACATCAACACTGACAAAGAAACAGCAAGAAATAGTGTTTACCCACAAGCAGAAAGACATTGCATATATTAGAAACCAACACTTTCTCATTACTTTATTCCAGATCATCAGACTGGGCCACAATAACGTGTGGCAGGGGACAGCTAGTGTGTATATAAATCTCTATCAGTATCTATTTGTATTTATATGTAGTAATATAGGAAGATTTCTTAGGAAGATAATCTTGTCTCCTGCCTATATCATCAGTTGGGAGGCCTCCCCCCAGCACCAACTGCTGCTCTGGCCATCTTGTCTGTGCTTTACTAATAATATTAAATAATATATTGTATATACATATAATATTTATAATATTATTTATATTTATTGTGTCAGGAGCAAAGCAAACAGTTGTATTGCACTTTTTAACAAACAAACAAACATACAAAATACAAAGTTTGCAAGCTTGGTAGTTGATTAAATGTCCTTTGACCAGTAGCTGGCCACTTGGAGTGCCTCTGGTGTTACTATGTATAAGAAGGTCCTCCATTGTGCATGTAGCAGGGCTCAGGTTGCATTGCAGCAGATGGTCTGTAGTTTGCTCTTCTCCACACTCGCATGTCGTGGATTTCACTTTGTAACCCCATTTCTTAAGGTTGGCTCTGCATCTCGTGGTGCCATAGCGCAGTCTGTTCAGCGCCTTCCAAGTCGCACAGTTTTCTGTGTGCCCAGGGGGGAATCTCATTTGGTATCAGCCATTGATTGAGGTTCTGGGTTTGGGCCTGCCACTTTTGGACTTTCGCTTGCTGAGGTGTTCCAGCGAGTGTCTCTGTAGATCTTAGAAAACTATTTCTTGATTTAAGTCATTGGCGTGCTGGCTGATACCCAAACAAGGGATGAGCTGGAGATGTCACTGCTTTGGTCCTTTCACTATTGGTTGCTACTTCCTGGCAGATGTCCGGTGGTGCAATACCGGCTAAACAGCTTTCATATGATATAATTTCTAGCGCCCACTTTTTGCTTGATATTCAGGCAGTGCTTCTTGTAATGCAATACAATATAATACTAATAACAGTAATACAATATTGTAATTATATATTTGATATTACATGTAATATTATTAATAATATTATAATATAATGGTATAGTACAAAACAGTAATATATAATGCTGATATTGTACTATGCTAATAATTTAATATATTGTATGTATATATATCTTGTAAGCCACTCTGAGTCCCCTTCAGGGTGAGAAGGGCGGCATATAAATGTTGTAAATAAATAATAAATAATAATAAAAGTCAACGTTTGTATGTCTGTTTGCGTGTATCTGTTTATTTTCTACATCTTCATTAATGACTCAAATGAAGGCATGCTTATCAAGTTTACAGATTTATGTATTTATCGTGCCAGAAGCAAATTGAAAATACAGTTATAATGTATTTTTAAAAATACAGACCAAATTAAAAACTTGCATTACGCCAGATTTCCTTTGACCAGAAGCTGTCCACTTGGAGTGCCTCTGGTATTGCTGTAAGAAGTTCCTCGATTGTGCATGTTGCAGGGCTCAGATTGCATTGTAATGAGTGGTCTCTGGTTTGCTCTTCTCCACACTTGCATGTGGACTCCACTTTGTGGCCCCATTTCTTAAGGTTAGCTCTGCATCTTGTGGTGCCAGAGCACAGTCTGTTCAATGCCTTCCAAGTCACCCAGTCTTCCGTGTGCCTGGGAGGGAGTTTTTCGTCTGGGGGTTCACAGTTTTTACCTGCCACTTTTGGACTCTTGCTTGCTGAGGTATTTCTGCGAGTATCTCTTAGGAAGCTGTTTCTTGATTTAAGTCATTGACATGCAGGCTGATGTCTGAACAGAGGATGGGCTGGAGATGTCACTGTCTTCGTCCTTTCATTACTGGCTGCTACTTCCTAGCAGATATCAGATGGTGCAATACCAGCCAAACAGTATAATTTCTCCAGTGGTGTAGGGCATAGACTTCCTGTGATAATGTGGCATGTCTCATTAAGAGCCACATCCACTGTTTTAGCATGGTGGGATGTGTTCCACACTGGGCATTTGTATTCAGCAGCAGAGTAGCAAACCGCAAAGGCAGATGGCTTCACTTTGTCTGGTTGTGATGCTCAGGTTGTGCCAGTCAGCTTTTGTACAATATTATTTCTAGTACCCACTAGATAGTCAAGCAGTGCTTGTAAGTCATAGCACAGTCCAGAGTGGCTCCCAGGTATTTTGGTATGCTGGAATGCTCCAGTGGGATTCCTTCCCAGATAATCCTCAGAGCTCGAGAGGCTTGTTCTTAAGATGAAAAGCACATCTGCGGTTTAGATGGATTAGGAATCAGCTTGTTTTCGCAGTAATAGGCAGATGGAACCAAATTAGGAGGGATAGCTAATGCACCAGAGGACAGAATCAGAATTCAAAAGGACCACAACAGATTAGAGAGCTGGGCCAAAATTAACAAAATGAATTTCAGATTTTTGTTAATTTTCTATAGACAACATCTATAGACAACATCTACTATTTTCTTTCAATTACCCAACACTAAATGGTATCAAAGATCAAGCTTAAAATAGTTTATATTTCAGTGCAGGCACATAAGCATATGGTTATTTATTTACTTATCATGTCGGGCAACCGAACAGTTGTATTACATTTTTGACAGAACAAACAAACAAACATACAAAAGACACAGAGTTTGCAAGCTTGGTAGTTGATTAAATGTCCTTTGACCAGTATCTGGCCACTTGGAGTGCCTCTGGTGTTGCCGCAAGAAGGTCCTGCATTGTGCATGTAGCAGGGCTCAGGTTGCATTGCAGCAGCTGGTCTGTAGTTTCCTCTTCTCCACACTCGCATGTTGTGGATTCCACTTTGTAGCCCCATTTCTGAAGGTTGGCTCTGCATCTCGTGGTGCCGGAGTGCAGCCTGTTCAGCGCCTTCCAAGTCACCCAGTTTTCTGTGTGCCCAGGGGGGAGTCTCTCATTGGGTATCAGCCATTGATTGAGGCTCTGGGTTTGAGCCTGCCACTTTTGGACTCTCACTTGCTTAGGTGTTCCAGCAAGTGTCTCTGTAGATCTTAGAAAACTATTTCTTGATTGAAGTCGTTGACATGCTGGCTGATGCCCAAACAAGGGATGAGCTGGAGATGTCTCTGCCTTGGTCCTTCCACATGGTATTAAATGTGTTTACAGATAGCAAGTTGCCATCCTTAGTAATGATAATGAGATGTTCTGTCACATTTAAATGGTCTTTAATTCATTTATTTTCCTTGATTTCCAGGGAAGTTCAAAAGGCAGTGAATACTGCCCAGGGGCTCTTCCAGAGATGGACGGAGCTCCTGCAAGATCCATCTACAGCTACAAGAGAAGAAATTGACTGGACCACCAATGAGCTAAGGAACAATCTAAGGAGCATTGAGTGGGATCTTGAGGACTTAGATGAAACTATTAATATCCTTAAGGTTCTCTGATCAATAACTAAATGAACCTACGTAGTATTTATCCAGAAAACCTGGTGGTTTTGTGACAGTCATTTAATCTATTAAATAAATATTTTTCGATATAGCTGATGTACATGTTGTTGATACCAGAAAGTTACTTCTCATGCTTCAAGTTATTCTGTAGAAGTCCATTTGTATTTCCTCTTCCATGTGCTATAGTTCCCCAAAAAGTGTTATTAAAGGCAAATATACTAAATAGCCATGGCATACCAAGGCAGCTGAGAACCTCAGAATTGTTTAAAAAAATGAAGTAAAAGTACTTTTAATATTATTTGTCTGTTTCAAGTGTATTTTTAAAAAAAAAAACAACCCAGAAAATAAAATGACCACACTCATAGAATCATAGAGTTGGAAGAGACCACATAGGAAGAGTCCAACCCCCTGGCATTCAGGAAAAGCACAATCAAAGCTCCCCCTCGACAGATGGTCATCTAGCCTCTGTTTTAAAGTATTGTAGACATTTTACATATACTTTTGAAGCACATTCTAAAAATGATCTGATGAATTGTATTGTTTCTTTTTTATTGTTAACAATAATTACACTATGTAGCAAAATTTGAAAAAAGTTATGTTCCTGTTTCGAAAGTGTTATTTCTGTTTCATTGTGCGGTCCTTATTTTGAAAGTAGTTGCTCTACTCCAGAAACATCATTTTTGTGGATGCCACAAATTATATTGAATTGGTTAAGAATCTATGACATATTCACTGAAAAACTATACCAAAATGTGCTGCAGGATGTCCCGCAAAAACAAAGTTTTTGCAGTTTAATAAACCTATTCCATGTTTTTATGATGGAACCAATTAGGGAATGACATAGTGTTATTTTTAAAAGGCCTTCTTACTGCTTATTAGGGTAATCTGTGTAGCAGACAATTTCCTTAACTGGCTGTTATCAACGCATTGTTGAAGCTAATCCTCGGAAGTTCAACCTCGATGCAACGGAACTGGGTGTAAGAAAAGCCTTCATCACAAGCACTCGGCAGGTGGTTAGGGTAAGCCATTTGAGTCTCTTGGGGAAATTATGTTGTAGAAGATGAAGCAACCACTAATTCTCCCAAGTATGAATGCAAGAACTCTACAGTTAAATAAGAATAATGATTGCGAAACATCTTTTTTCTAAGGACAAGTCTGAAAAAATAGCTTACAGAAATTATCGTATTTCTTTGATTTTAAGATGCCATAAATTTCAATACCATCATCCGAAAGCACCTATATGATTCTAAGATCTGGTGGCGCAGTGAGTTAAACCACTGAGCTGCTGAGCTTATTGACCGAAAGGTCGCAGGTTCGAATCCGGGGAGCGGCGCGAGCTTCCGCTGTCAGCCCCAGCTTCTGCCAACCTGGCAGTTTGAAAACATGCAAACGTGAGTAGATCAATAAGTACTGCTCTGGTGGGAAGGTAACGGCGCTCCATACAGTCATGCTGGCCACATGACCTTGGAGGTGTCTATGGACAATGCCGGCTCTTCGGCTTAGAAATGGAGATGAGCACCACACCCCAGAGTCGGACACGACTGGACTTAATGTCAGGGGAAAACCTTTACCTACCATATGGGAGAAGTGCCTCTTAGAATTGAAGAAATACAAAATCTGTGTTTTGAATGGAAGAAATACAAAACCTGAGAGCTTGGGCATGGATCCAGCAATTTGTCTGAATATTTATGAGCAGTTAGTTGGTGGTGTCATTAACCTTACTACTTTTTAGTCTTATTTGTTGTTTAATTATTACATTGTCTTGCTGAATGTTCTAATGTTGGTAGCAGCTCTGGATTTGTCATAAAATGTTCCCTCAGAAGTTTCCTGGATGTCCCATGAAGAATTGTGGCTGTTTACTGCTGTCACGTCAGCTTTAACTTATGGTAACCCAATAAGACCTTCAAGTCACCACCTCTGCAACAGTCCTTGCAGACTCAGGGCCATGGCGTCCTTGACTTAACCTATCCATCTGTCATGCAGTCTTCCTCTTTACTGCTTTTTAAAATCATAGCAAGCATTAACCTTTTTTTTCGAATAAGTCTTGTCTTCACAAAATATGCACTAAGTACCAAATGACAGTCTTGGGGCCCTTTCATACAGCCATATAACCCAGAGTATCAAGTCAGAAAATTCCACAATATCTGCTTTGAACTGGGTTGTCCACATTGCCATATGTTCCAGTTCAAATTAGATATTTTTTTATTCAGAATTTATTCAGCTGTGTGGAAGGGACCTCAGTTTAATCATCCCAACTTCTAGGGAAAGTATGAAGGATAGGATATACATCAACAAGTATTTGGAGAATGGTGTGGGGCAGGCCCATAGCCAGGATTTTGTTTCGGGAGGGGCTGAGTTTGATTCGGGGGGCGGGGGAGCTGAGTCTGAGTGAAAGAGGGTCTACCCTAGCAAACCTTTTGTATCGTTACCCCAATACCCCCATTCATATGGGATATATTGAGCATGGTGATCAGAACATGATATGAATAAACATAACAGTTTAAAGAATGTACCAGTAAGGCCTTCTCGCGGACCACCCTGAGAATTTGGGGGGGGGGGCTGAAGCCCCTCAAGCCCCCCCCCCTCCGGCTACATGCCTGGTGTGGGGTTTTAGTCAAGATTTTTTTTCTGTTCAAATATCTTGAACTGAAATGTATATGTACTGAAAAGAGTTTGCTATTCAGCCTGTTCAATGCATCCAACATTTGCTTTGATGCATTAATTACCAGTATTATATGTAATAATAACTGTCCATTTTCCTCTATACCTCAGGATAAAAGCAGGGAAAGCTTCAAAATCAGTTTACAAGTGTGTGAGAGAAAGCATTTAAGAGAAAAAATGTTCTGGGCTCTGGATTGTAACCTGCAGATTCAAAATGCCAGTCTGATGTATAAGAGGAGCAGCAATTTTTGGTTAGTAAGGAAGCAAAGGGTATTTGACATGCAGTGACATCATTGGAAAGCAAGGCTTTTAACACTTATGTGAGAAAGGTACAGTTAATATACTCTGTAGCATTGTATACTGTACTTTTTGCTTGAGTAAGTTATGAATTGTCACTGTTTTCTGTAGTATGGTATGCCTACAGTAGTGAGGCCTCAGGGCTGCCAAATTTTAGTCCAAGAACCCCTCCTTCCTTTTAAAATTCCCAGTTGAATTGGCAAAACAGCCTGTAGCATTTTTTCTATTTCACTTTCCCACCTTCTGAGAAGTACATCTGAATGTCTTACTGTGGAAAGCAGAAGAGCATTAAAATATATCTTTGATAAGAATGTTTTGTGAAAGATGATAAGTCACTATTTTGGTACTAATCACAGTAGTTCAGCAACCCCATTAACTAGCCCATAATAATTCCAAATATGGATTACTTTTCTGAATGATTCAACATCTAAAGTAGCAGCCTGCTCAAACAAAACTAAAGTAATAGGATACCATTTATATTCATCAAGAAAAATCAAAGTTTGGATTCCGTTCCATTTCACTTGCTAATAAAAAAACCTGTCAAGATTAGCATTTTCAAATACACAATAACATTTAGGTTGCCTAATGAATGTTAATTGTTATTCTGTTTCAATTGTTTTATCTAAAAAGGATGTTTACTAATGTTGGGAGCAAAGCAATTACTAAAATAATGTTTGTTTTTGTGACTCTGTATTGGTTTTGGAATGAATTAGTATACATAGTGGGTTTTTTATTAGCATTCACCACACCCACTACTAAAAAGAACACAGCTAACTATTCTTTGTTTTTGGAATTTTAACAAGGTGGCTCATAAATATTCCTTATAGAGCAATTATATACATCAGTGGCCGTTCCGCAGAATGCTAGGGTTCCACAAAAGAATCATAGGGTTCTTTAAAAAGAAATTAATATCTTTTTTTAAAGTCTGTGGCAGAATATGAAAAGCTTATTGAAATTCAATGTACTGATGCTTTTAAAACAATATTTAAATCTCTTTATTTCTAAACCTACATTAGGCAAAATATTCAGGCAGTAGGAATAGATGAAAAAAGAAAGATTTGGGGTTTGCAATACTTTGGGGCAGTTAGGGATCTGTGGGGGGGGGGGGTCTTCTGAAGTGTTCCATGACCAAAAAAGTTTGGGAACCATTGATAGACATTTCCACTCTGATACAAAATCATTCTCTGTATAAATATGTATTGGATTTGACCTTTTAGATAGCTTTCCGTCAGACTTGTAATCCTCAAAGCAACCAAAAATGCATACAATATATCAGACAAGCTTTCAAAGCCCCACTGATTTCTACATCAGGCAAATTAAAAATCACATAGAAATAAAAATAATACAGCGATGTGAGAGTCATAAGTTGCTTCTTCTTCTTCTTCTTCTTCTTCTTCCTCTTCTTCTTCCTCTTCTTCCTCCTCCTCCTCCTCGTCCTCCTCCTCCTCCTCCTCCTCCTCCTCCTCCTCCTCCTCCTCCTCCTCCTCCTCCTCCTCCTCCTCCTCCTCCTCCTCCTCCTCCTCCTCCTCCTCTTCTTCTTCTTCTTCTTCTTCTTCTTCTTCTTCTTCTTCTTCTTCTTCTTCTTCTTCTTCTTCCCTGCTTTATCTCTCCCAAAGGAGACTCAAAGTGGAATAACATAGAAGTATTAGCATACAATTTAAAATATCCAGATATGCAAATATTAAAGCCTACATTTTGTCAAGATGTTGTTTTTGTTGTTGTAGGCTAAGATAGTCTGGGTTGGAAAGATATCATTACAGACAAAGGTCACTCCTCCCTTGGGCCACGTGGACACTGGGAGACAAAAGAGTCAGAAAATCCAGCCGATAAAATGTCAACTCCATTAGCAACAGAACAAGTAAAAGAGCAGAGTTGTCTCTCCCTTCAGACTATCTTAACTGACAATCACAGAAATCATTGTCGTGACAAAATGTAGGCATGTGACTCTCAACAATGTCATTTTTCTTCTTCTCCTGTATGATTTTTTATATTGTTGCCTGATTGAAATCCAGTGGAGCTTTAAAAACTTGTATGATGTATCTGGTGTGTTTTTGGTTGCCTAGTAAAAGTATTGCTGTTTTGTGGGTTTCGGTTGTTGTTGTATTTTTCTATTTGTCCAAATTAACTATTTGTGGATATGTTTTATACATCTGTTCATACAAGATATTTGCTTATATGAAGTAAGTGTCCAGTGAAGTCTACATGTGGGCTTTGAGGGGTTCTCACAATTTTTGTGAGCAGATGAAGATATGAAATAAAGAGATGGTAAAGTTGGGCTACCCATTATAACACAGAGATTGAGAGCGTTCATTGGCTTTTCATTGTGTAAATAATACACAATTGATTCTGCTACAGAGCACCTGTGTTTAATGACAACATAAATCTGAAAGCAGACCTAAATGTGTAACCAGATTCACAACTATGTATTTGTGTTTATACAGATGCATGGATATCTGTATCTGCGTGTGCATTAATATTATATTTACTACTTCACTTCCACAAACTGAACTGAAAACAGATTGCATCAAAAGATAATGTCCAGCTGTTTCCATAGAGGAACTTATGCAATGTGCAAAACATCCAACAGGATTTCAGTCATTTCCTGTCATGGAGATAAAGCACTTTAGTTTTGTAAACCAGTATACCTGTCAGTTATACTTACCTTAGAATAATAATGTTAAAATATGTGGTTATATGTTTGCATTCTTTTTAACAAAATAGGATATGAAGGACCAGATGTCAAATACGTCTGTTCAAGCTCTGGCTGAAAGGAAGAACAGGCAGGTCAGTATTATTGTTAGATTGCCTTGTAAATTGTCTGCAAAATGTATTGGGTTTGGTTACGTCGTTTTTACCGGATATTAATATATTAAATGTTGTGCATTATTCATACTTCCCCTAGTTTCTGATATGCTAAGGCAGCAAGATTCATGTTATTATACTGAAGATTATAAACAATTCTGCAAAGGCTGGAATGTATATAGACATTGGGATTAATTTACATATTCTCCATAACATTGTAAGAATGGGGCTTTTGCTCAAGATAATATTTCTTGACAAGGCAAATGCCCAATGATAGTAACTCTGCCTTTCTAAAAATAGTCCCTGTTCTTGCAAAGAATGCATTTGTGTGGATCAGCACCAAGAGGTCCTTGTTTCCCGAAATCCTGATAAACCGGGACCCAGAGCCTTCCTATATAATATGACAGCTCAGGATGATGGAGTATAATGGGTTCTCTTCTGCTCACGATGCAAAACAAACCAAGGGTCTTATCCACCCTGAACAAATGTATTAGTTTTGTATCGCTTTAATTGACATGATTTTCTTCAGAACATCCTGGGATTTGATGTCAGAATCACTGATGCATTAAAGGGCCAGACTTGAATGTAGTTCTCAAACAGAGTTTATTAAACAAAAGCAAAAGGACACAGAGACACTTAACTGCAGTGCCTCTGGTCAAAACTCAAACCACAACCAGTCCTGGTTCAAAAATGAGTAACAGAAGGTAAAACCCGGATTATCCGGACAAAAGAACCGGATTAAACAAAATGCATTGAAGCCAAAACAAAAGACAGGCTACACAAACAGTCAACAAAGCAGTGAAGCCGCAAAGCAGGAAGCGTAGTCAGCCGGAGTCCGAAGTCAAGGCAGCAGCAATCTGAATTAGCGTCGTTCCAATATCCACAAAAGCAGCGTCGTCGTCAAGTCAGTCCGAAGTCAAGGAAGGGGAATTCACACTCACGAGAAGTCAGTCCAAGTCATGATCAGGAACTCCAACCTGCAGATCCCGGACCCAATTCTAACACGAACAGGCAGCAACAAGTCCCATGCAATACCCAAATTCACGAACATAAACCAACACCTTGCCTTCTGCAAAGACCCATCATTTCTGAACTTACTCATCATCCGAAGATGAGCTGACCACCGGTCCATCGTTATCCCTTGCAGTTGATCCCAATTCCACACATGAACGTCTACTCCCATCTCTCCACCTTCTCCATCTTCTGTCAAGACTTAGATCCCCCCAAGATTCAGTTGTATTCCCCGATTGCCAGTCCTTACTTCCAGAAAACCCCACAAATGTATCACTAGACGTCGGTTCCACACAAACAGCTTGTACTTCTTTTACCCTAGTCCAATCCAATGTGTCATCCCCATCTTCATCACTGCTTGACCCAGCACCCCAGAGAAACCCATAAATGACTCCTCATCTGTGGGAGCTGCAAGTATATCCCGGATCCTCTTCCTTTGTTCCTCCTCATCAGACTCCTGCTCCCGAGTAGTCCTTTTCCATCCCCTAGACTCATCCATGATGTTTTCCTCCTCTTCCTCACTCATTGACCCATCATCCCCAGAGAATCCCTCGAATGATTCCTCTTATGTAGGAGCTGTAAGTATATCCAATGCTCCCAAGAATAAATGGTCTGTCTTGGTACTTATTGATTTTGGAAGTGTGATACAAACATATTTAAGTCACAGCATTTAATTTTTATTTGCCGTTTATTTACTGATACACAGGTCCTTCTGGGAGAAAGTGGAACTCATGGCTGGAGTTCTGGAGCTGACAAATATAGTCGTTTGGATCGTGAAATGCAGTCTGTGAATTCAAACTTCATTGAGGATCAGCAGGTTCAGCAACAGGTAAGACATTTCTCATAATTCGCTGTACAGTATTCGTTAGCAATGTTGTGTACAGTGTATATGAAGGTGGAGTTGTGGACAGAAGTTAGTTTTGTTGACTGATACTAATGGGATTAGTAGATCAGGTTTTGGCATAAAAATGTAATGGTATTTTATTTCGTATCAAAAGCATTGCATAAATTAGTATAAAACTGATAAAAATAGAAGGAGCACAGGCGGCTAAATATCTTTTGACCAAAAACGGGCAACAGCAACAGCATTGTCTGTAGCCTGCAACAATTCTTCCTCTGTACATGAGGCAGGGCACAGTGAGCAAGCATACAGATGTGGATTTGTGTGTTCTGCTCCACAGTCACAAAAGGTATGGGATTCTTTTAGGTAGTTCCATTTTGCCAGGTTGTCTTTTGTTCTGCCCACTCCCGTTCTGAGTCTGTTCAGGGACTTCCAAGTTGCCCATTCTTGGTTTGCCTCTGGAGGAAGACCCGGGGGGGGGGGGGGGGGGGGGGGGGGGGGGGGCGGCATCCAGTTGGGATTTCCTGGTTTAGCTGCCCAGAGGGATACCCTTGCTGTTGCTGGGGGGACGCCAAGAGGAGTGGTAGTTCTCATAAAGCTTTTCCTTGGTTTGAGTCTACTGGGAGGAGGCTGGTAGCCTTGCAGTAGATGACTTTCACAGTGTTCAACCTTATTTCTCTCACATTTAGCACATAGCACATCGCACATCGGGGGGGAGGGGGGCAATGCCAGCTAGCTTGTAGAGTTTATCAACAGGTGTAGGTTGATGACAGCCTGTGATTATTCTGCATGTTTCATTCCATGCTATGTTCACCTTAATGTTCAAAGTAGAAGAACAGAATTTCTGAAGAGATAATTTAAGCCATAGAGGCGAAGACATAGAATCAAAGAGTTAGAAGAGACCTCATGGGCCATCCAGTCCAACCCCCTGCCAAGAAGCAGGAATATTGCATTCAAATCACCCCTGACAGATGGCCATCCAGCCTCTGTTTAAAAGCTTCCAAAGAAGGAGCCTCCACCACACTCCAGGGAAGAGAGTTCCACTGCTGAACGGCTCTCACAGTCAGGAAGTTCTTCCTCATGTTCAGATGGATTCTCCTTTCTTGTAGTTTGAAGCCATTGTTCCGCGTCCTAGTCTCCATGGAAGCAGTAAACAAGCTTGCTCCCTCCTCCCTGTGGCTTCCTCTCTCATATTTATACATGGCTATCATATCTCCTCTCTGCCTTCTTTTCTTCAGGCTAAACATGCCCAGCTCCTTAAGCCGCTCCTCATAGGGCTTGTTCTCCAGACCCTTGATCATTTTAGTCGCCCTCCTCTGGACTCATTCCAGCTTGTCAATATCTCTCTTGAATTGTGGTGCCCAGAATTGGACACAATATTTCAGGTGTGGTCTAACCAAAGCGAAATAGAGGGGTAGCATTACTCTCCTAGATCTAGACACTATGCTCCTATTGATGCAGGCCAAAATCCCATTGGCTTTTTTTGCCGCCACATCACATTGTTGGCTCATGTTTAACTTGCTGTCCACGAGGACTCCAAGATCTTTTTCACACGTACTACTCTCAAGCCAGGCATTGTCCCCCATTCTGTATCTTTGCATTTTGTTTTTTCTGCCAAAGTGGAGTATCTTGCATTTGTCACTGTTGAATTTCATTTTGTTAGTTTTGGCCCATCTCTAATCTGTCAAAATTGTTCCCCTTGAAATCTTCCGTGTGTGGTGAACAAACTGGGTTTCCCTTACAGATAGTCCTTAGGTGCTTAGGAAATGAGGGTTGTTTGTGTAGGAAACTGCAAATGGCACCAGTTGTAGTTGGATACCTAGTTGAGGCAAGGGTGGAGGATATCAAGACTATGCATGCACAATTATAAAGAAGAAGAATTGAAGATTACATTAAGACTTGTTCCACATTATCCGTTCTTTCTCATTAGAACAAATGATGAACACATTCCTCTTTTTTGGTCCTCAGTTAATCATAGAACAGCAGGACGAACAGTTGGAGCTGGTCTCCGGCAGCATTGGGGTGTTAAAGAACATGTCCCAGCGCATTGGAGGGGAGCTAGATGAACAAGCAGTGTGAGTACCAAACATGTTTTAGTCACAGCCTTCCCAACTGTAAAATTAAATGTGTTTTTGATGTTGTGTCCTGTTTGCGGGCTTTCCTGAAACCTGTGGCTTAGCAGGATTTTAAGCAGAGGGTGCATCTTCATTATAGAATTGATGCAGTTTACACCACTGATTACCATGACTCAGTGCTATGGAATCAAGGGAGTTGTAGTTTTGCCTTGAGCCATGGCTGTTAATTCTACAGTGCAGGTGCCCCTAAAGTTCTATATTAGATTGACCTTTGGTCCAATCCACTAGAACAGCGGTTCTCAACCTGGGGGCTGCGACCCCTCAGGGGGTCGTTTGGCCATTTTCTGGGGGTCGCAAAGCCACATTGGCTGGCCACGCCCCTTCCAAAATGGCGGCCGATCCCCTGAGCCACTGGCACTCCCGCGCACGAAGCCATCCACCCATCCCTCACCTCCTTCTGATGGCAGGTTTATTATATTATTATTATCATTATTATTATTATTATTATTATTATTATTATTATTATTATTATTATAGACAAAGCATAAAATTAAATAAAATTAAATAAAAAATATTGTCACAGAAAATTCAATAAAATATTTTTTTTAAAAAAAAATGAAAGCAGAAGATGATTTGAAATTATGGTATCGGTATTTTTTTAAATGCCTGGTATCTAAAATAATTTAGCCTTTGTGCCAGGCAGACTCTTATACCCCAAGTCTTATGTCAAAGATGAAAAATCCCTTTCTTTGTGGCAAAAAGTTACCTCCAGTGAAGCGGCACATGGAGAAGAACTTCTTCCCTTCCCAAGTTAAATTTAAAATTAAGTTAGCAAGACTGCTTATAGCAATGAATTGGAAAAGAGAAATAAATATACAAATAGAGGAGTGGTACAAAGAAGTATGGAAATTGGCAATAAATGATAATCTGACATGTATATTAAAAGCTAAAAGAAGTATATGGAAACAAAGTTATTTTGATGAAGTATGGAGAAAATTTATTGAAAAAAGATTTAAAAAGAAAGAAGGAAAGTTATCTCCACAAGAAGAATTGACATTTTGGACAGATGATATGTAAAAGCTGTGGCGTGGGATGGGGAGGGGGGCAGAAAAATAACAGTAGATGCCAAAAGTTAAAGAATGGTAGGTTGTATTGAAATCTATGAATCTGCTGTAAAATAAACAATGTATAACAAATGTATTGAACTACTAGCCGTCCCCTGTTGTGGCCCACAGGGGGGTTCTGTGTGGGAGGTTTGCCCCAATCCTATCGTTGGTGGGGTTCAGAATGCTCTGTGATTGTAAGTGAACTATAAATTCCAGCAACTACAATTCCCAGATGTCAAGATTCTATTTCCCCCAAACTCCACCAATGTTCACTGTACAGAAGTGTTTATAATAATATGCTTATAACTGTATTTATGTTTGTATTGGTTGCCCTTAGGCTGGAGCGGCCTAGCTGTTAGGAATGTGTTACCATGGAAACGAGGCAGAAGAGGAGGTGGGAGGAGCTTAGAGAGTTAAGGTTTTTGAAAAGTGACAGTTAGAGTCAGTCAGGGTTTTAGGCTCAGGGAAGAGCAGGTCAGGATTGAGACTCTGAGAAGTGAAGAGTCAGGTTTCAGTGTTCGTGAATAGTAGAGATTTCTTCAGTTAGGAAGCTGAAGGGGAAAACCTTGTTAGTTGCTTTAGTTAGAAAGAACTAACAGAGGCTTGTTAAGATCGCTAGTCGGGAGAAGACTAGAGATCTGTCGTTTGATCAAGGATAGATCAAACAGGGAGACTATTCACTGCAGGGAACACTGGTTAATAAAGTGCTTCACCACAGCAAGAGTTCATAAGTTGTAACATCGAAAGTCTGAATTGTATCGCAACCAAGTTACATGTAACCTTCAATTATTTGCCAAGCTTAACATCATCATACTGCAATCATACGCTTTGTTTAAAAATAAACTTGTTCTCTTTAGTTTTTGAAACTGCCTCATCTCCATTAATTCTACGTTCGTGTACCCAATCTCCCAAAATTACCTCACAACACAAACAGGGTGGCATCCAGTGGTATTAATACCAGAGCCTTTTACAAATCGGTGGCTCCTCTCTCCTAAACCTAAGGGTCTTCCTCACTAATTGGTGGCGATCTTTTACCACCTGGTAGCCGTCTCCTTTACATTCACATTTGAGCGTATTGAGTATTCGTATAGAGTTTGGTCCAGATCCGTCATTGTTTGAGTCCACAGTGATCTCTGGGTGTAGGTGAACTACAACTCCAAAACCAAAGGACACTGCCCACCAAACCCTTCCAGTATTTTCTGTTGGTCATGGGAGAACTGTGTTCCAAGTTTGGTTCAATTCCATCGTTGGTGGGGTTCAGAGTGCTCTTTGATTGTAGGTGAACTATAAATCCCAGAAACTACAATTCCCAAATCAAAAATGAGTGGAGGACATACATTGGGTTGTTAGGTGTCTTGTGTCCAAATTTGGCGTCAATTCGTCCAGTGGTTTTAGAGTTCTGTTAATCCCACAAACGAACATTACATTTTTATTTATATAGATGATAATAAAAATATTAAAAAAATAAAATTAAGTTTTATATTTTAAAACCAAGTCAATTGCATAATCTGAAATTCTTGTCTCCCTTTCTGTGGTCCCAGCATGTTGGATGATTTTGCTCATGAGATGGACAGCACTCAGTCACGACTAGATAACGTTATGAAGAAGCTTGCAAAAGTGTCCCACATGACCAGTGGTGAGTAGCATGGAATCTTAAGAGGAACACATCACGTCTTCCTTCATTGCAGGAGCCGACAGAGGTTGACCTCAGAAAGGCTTCAGTTGGGCTACCTCTCCCAGAATCCTTTGCTGGATTTTCCTGGCTGTGGGATTCCACTAAGTCAAGCATAGAGTTTCTTTGGGTTTTTTTGGTTGCTACTGACTTCTCAAATTTTCAGGACCAGTTGTGACATTGTGCACTGTCAGCTAAACCAAATGGCATGATGATCTGGAAGCTTTTGCAGGGGTGGAGGTCCTTGCTTTAGTGGCGGAGACTCTTCAAATTTCCATCCCACACTTTTTCTTGTGTTTTGTTGTTCAAGGATATCAACAGCAAAAGCTCAGTTACCTTTGTGGGTAGGGAAGAATGAGTGAGAAGTCAGAATCTTGCTGGAAAGAAGTATTGCTTTCAAACTGCGTTCCACCCAACTCTTGGGAGTTTGTTAGATGCCTATGAGTAGGGAGGAAATTAGTAATGCTTCACAATTCTTCCCTTGCAACATATAAGCAGGAGGGGAGTACTGAGAAAGTCCTAAAGCATTTCTTCGCTTCACTAGGTGTGTTTGTGAGATCATCTGTAAAATGTGTAAACCCTGAAACATGCCCCAGAATCCCAAGCAAAACACACAAAAATGCCAAGGGAATACGGACTTACAGATCCGAACGCATCTCCCCTTATGAACCATCTAGGATCTTAAGATCGTCTGGGGAGGCCCTGTTCTCGTTACCGCCTTTGTCACAAGTACGTTTGGCGGAGACAAGAGACAGGGCCTTCTCGGTGGTGGCCCCTCAGCTGTGGAACTTCTTCCCTATAGATATTAGATCGGCCACCTCCCTTTTAACATTCCGGAAAAACGTCAAGACGTGGCTTTTTGAACAAGCATTTGCAAATGCAGAGTAACTGACATTGGAAAATGGAACGACTAGACAATGAGTCGGGCAACGTATTTATTTATTTACAGTTTTTCTATACCGCCTTTCTCACCCCTGGGGGGGGACTCAAAGTGGTTTACGCATAAATAATGGCAAGATTCAATGCCTTATGTTGGGCACTGATACGATGCCAATGCAAACAATTACAATAGTAAAACCACAATTAAATATAATTCACAATTAAAACAGTCATAGGATCATAGAATCAAAGAGGTGGAAGAGACCTCATGGGCCATCCAGTCCAACCCCCTGCCAAGATGCAGGAATATTGCATTCAAATCACCCCTGACAGATGGCCATCCAGCCTCAGTTTAAAAGCTTCCAAAGAAGGAGCCTCCACCACACTCCAGGACAGAGAGTTCCACTGCTGAACGGCTCTCACAGTCAAGAAGTTCTTCCTCATGTTCAGATGGAATCTCCTTTCTTGTAGTCTGAAGCCATTGTTCCACATCCTAGTCTCCAGGGAAACAGAAAACAAGCTTGCTCCCTCCTCCCTGTGACTTCCTCTCACATATTTATACATGGCTATCATGTCTCCTCTCAGCCTTCTCTTCTTCAGGCTAACCATGCCCAGCTCCTTAAGCTGCTCCTCATAGGGTGTGTTCTGCGGATCCTTGATCATTTTAGTCGCCCTCTTCTGGACACATTCCAGCTTGTCAATATCTCTCTTGAATTGTGGTGCCCAGAATTGGACACAATATTCCAGGTGTGGTCAATACATCAACAGGCATTAAAACAATAAAACAGTCTCATCAGTCAAATTGCTGTTCCCGTCAATGTCCCTCTAAAATGCTCCATACATCTACTGTTCGAAGGCCTGGTCCCAGAACCACGATTTTAAATTTTTCTAAAAGCCAGGAGGGAGGGAGCGGATCTTATCTCATTTGGGAGTGTATTCCATAGGTGGGGAGCCACAGCCGAGAAGGCCCTGTTTCTCATTCCTGCCAGATGCATTTGTGCTGTTGACAGGAGCGAGAGCAGATGATCTTAGATTACGAGGTGGGACATGGGGGTGGATGCGTTCGGACAAGTAAGCTGGGCCAGAACCGTATAGAGCTTTATAGGTCAAAACCAGCAATTTTGAATTGGGCTCAGAGATGGACCGGCAGCAAGAGGAGCTGGCATAGCAGGGGTGGTGGTATGCTCCCTGTATGTTACCCCGGTTAGTAATCTGGCTGCCGCCCATTGGACTAACTGAAGTTTCTGAACCGTCTTCAAAGGCAGCCCCACATAGAGTGCGTTGCAGTAATGTATTTGGGATGTAACCAGAGCGTGGACCACTGTGGCCAGATCAGACTTCTCAAGGTACGGGCGCAGTTAGTGCACAAGTTTTAATTGTGCAAAAGCTCCCCTAGTGACCGCCGAAACCTGGGGTTCGAGGCTCACTCCCAAGCTGCGAACCTGCATCTTCAGGTGGTCTTCAAGTGGTATCAGCACCAGTTTTCTTATTGTGTCTTGAGTTTCTGGAGCTTAGTATGCTAGAGAGTATACTAAATGGAAAAGGCAGCCCCATGTAGAGGCTGCCCACGTGGGGCTGCCCTTGAAAACGGCCTGGAGATTCCAACTGGTCCAACGGGCAGCGGACAGGTAGATAACTGGTGCTCCTTACAGAGAGAGGTCAACCCTCCTGTTTAAGGAGCTCCATTGGCTGCTGTTCATCTTCTGGTCCCAATTCAAGGTGCAGGTGCTTACCTACAGAGCCCTAAACGGTTTGGGACCCGCCTACCTGCGTGACCGCATCTCCGTATATGAACCCACACGATCTCTCTGATCATCTGGAGAGGCCCTGTTCACGATCCCACCTGCGTCGCAATTCTTATTATAAGAATTTCTTCTTTAGCTTTTCTGAAAAATGGAGGCCTAACCCATACCTATTCTTTTGCAGATCGGCGACAGTGGTGTGCAATTATCATTCTCTTTGCTGTCCTGATGGTGGTGATTATCTTGTATTTTGTGCTGTGACAAAGTGGAACTTGGGCGCTGTTCCTTTCTCCCTTTTCAATGGACTCCCAGACAATCCTCCGATCCAACAGAGGGAATTCCCATTATGAGAACTGTGTTTTGGGAGCAGGAGACTGTGCTCCTCTGTGGATGGACACCAGTGTCATTACTGTCTGAACCTCGTGGCTCTTCTGCTCATCATCATGATCAACTTGCTGAGGAAATAATGGTAAACAAAGAAATGCCCAAATTCTACTGTCTGTTGCAGGAAGCACTTCCTGCAAATTGGAAGGGGAAGAGCAATTCCCATCCTGCTGCAGGTGTGAATGGTTTTCAGGAAGTACTTCAGATGCCTTTCTTCTGCTTGTAAAAACAGGACTCCTGGCAGTGTTTTAAAAGGCACATTTAACAGCGCTCTATTGACCAGAGGATTCTCTTCATAAGGCAGCTTACAGCACTGCCTTGCAAAGAACTATGGAGCCAGATGGGTCTGCAAAAGCAGTCACTAATTCACACTGGTTTGTGCTGCCAGTCTATGAAAGGTAAATGTAGCCCCCCTCCCACCCCCCATGTTAAATAACGGCACAGAGGAATACACCTTAGGGCATTTCTGAAGACAAACAAAACCAGAATGAGGATTGCTGTGAGCCCAGAAGTCTAAGGAAGATCTTGAAGGCTGGGGACATTTGCACATACGGCCTCAGCAGTTCCCACTCTCGTCTAGGTGAATGATACTGACCCTTACTTTGATGTGAGGCATATCTGCTTCTGGGCAGAAACCTTGGTGAAAACTGCTGTCTGTGTTCGAATTGTAACCATACTGTCCTGTCATGCTTCAGGCAGAGGTAGTTTGATTTCAATTTTCAGAGCTTTAACCATTTTACTGTGTTGCAAAGTGGGAAGCCAGTCAGCTTTCTGTAGCTAAAGTCTTGCCTGCTTTTTTTGTGTGTATGAATTATTTTTGGCTTTGAAAATGATCCTTTGTGGAAAAAAAAGACACTTGCCCATGGGGGGATTGTCCTTTCTTGATTCTGCTGCTTTTCATTAACAGCTGCTTCTGTTTGGTGACTGAATATTTCAGTTCTAGGTTTTAATCGCAGTTAAATTGCTCTCTCCTGCGTATGGGTAACATGCGCCTGTTAAGGTTGAGAACATCTTAGATGCACATAGAGATATGTGGAACTGCACCACCTTGTCAACAGCAATAGTGAAGCTGGTCCAGAGCAGAAGGAAACCACAAAAATGGAAGCTAACAATTCCTCCTTTTCCAATCCTGTGAGAAAAGATTCCAGTCTCTAGTTGTAAAGAATGAATCATGTAGGATAGGGAGGAAAATGGTGTGGTTGAAACAGACAGCACTTCTTCCTTTGAATAGATAAAAGAGGGTTGGCTCCTGGTGTCTTGTGGGAGTCCTTGAGTGAAGAGGTCAGTGATCCTGGTCAGACTTAATACAGGGTGAGGCAGCATAACTTCCTTTTTTCAAAACTTAATAAAACCCATTGTATGAATCATTTTTTTATACCATAGACGCATACCTAAAGTTTCGTTTTACGTAGTTTTGAAGATCAAATTACGTAGGTGACGTCCCCCATTCTCCATGGCGTTAGTCATGTAGTTTATTCGATTTATTTATTTATTTTGTGTCAGGGCAGCCAGTCAATTGCATTTCTAGCAGAACAATGCAAACAAACATACATAATACAAAATTTGTGAGTTTGGTAGTTGATTAAATGTCCTTTGACCAGTAACTGGCCACTTGGAGTGCTTCTGGTGTTCCTGCAAGGAGGTCCTCCATTTTGCATGTGGCAGGGCTCAGGTTGCATTGCAGCAGGTGGTCAGTGGTTTGCTCCTCTCCACATTCACATGTCGAGGATTCCACTTTGTAGCCCCATTTCTGAAGGTTGGCTCTGCATCTCGTGGTGCCAGAGCGCAGTCTGTTCAGCGCCTTCCAAGTCGCCCAGTCCTCTGTGTGCTAAGCAGTGTAATTTCTCCAGTGGTGTAGGGCGCAGACACCCCGTGATAATGCGGCATTTTATTCAATGCTTTGACCATAGGTCTTTCACATACAAGGCAAGGCAGATAAATAAATACATAAACACCAAATTATTAAATACAATATAAAATACACAATAAAATCCTATAAATCATTAAAATACTATATATATCAATGGCAAGATGCACCTTTAAAATACTACATAATGTACAGACTCATACCTGCATAATTAAAAACCAAGTAAAAGCAAATAGATACAGCATTATTAAAACTACATAAACAGCCACTATTAGTTGAGAGCATCCCCAGCACAGTCAACTGCAAAAGAGATTAGTTTTGCCCAGATTTTCTGTGCTGTCAGGGCAAAAAGAGACACCTTATGAGTAACCACAGGGTTAGTGTCAGCCCAGAGATAGAAAATCTTTTCAGACACAATGTTGGTCTGAAGGAGGTGGAGAATAAACCCCAGGATTTTGGTTCTTGGTTCAGAATACAAAGGGCAGAAAAGCAAATAGTGAGGCAGATCCTCAATTTCCGGGCCCCCACAAACACATAAACGAAGAGCCAGAGGTGTGCCCGTATATCTGCCATCAATCACTGCTGTGGGCATACTTTGAAAACGAATGGCTGTGACGGCTTGTCTAAGTTTTAGAAATGTGAGCCTAGTCAGGTAGATAGCCCTATCATGGTCAAGTTTGTGCAGTCTAAACCAATGGGAGAATTTGGAGTTGTTAATGGCCTGCCTATCATGGTGGGCACAATTATTAAAAATATATTCATGGAGCTTCTCCCTTGAGTTCAAGATAGAAGGCTTATCAGACAGAGTAGGGTGAAATTCCAGCAGCTTCTGGTATCTAGTATTCCAGACTTTGCATTTTGCTAGCTGTTCAAAACATCCCTTGGGGAGAACCCTAACTGAGGAGTCTTTTACATTTCTCCAATAATTAAATAGGGTAAAATGAACACGTGATCTAATGGAGGGGAGACCAACTTCTGCCCGGACTAAGGCTGCCGGGGTGCGTTTGTCATGACTCTTGCCAGCATAGCAGGCGTTACGTTGGCAATTTCTTCCTGGATGTTGGTCTTCAAATCTTGTAGGGTCCTTGGACGGTTCACATAAACACGGGATTTCAAAAAACCCCATAGAAAAAAATCACAAGGGGCCAAATCTGGAGAGCGGGCCGGCCACTCCAAATCCGCTCGAAAAGTAGGCCTCAATGGCAAAAGCACGCTCGTCACTGTTCCAACGCATGATGGAGACTGAACTGTGTCAGGACAAAACTTTATACTCCCGCCTCTCGAACGAGACCACTAGCGCTCTGCTACGTCTTCAACCGACTGAATGGAGTGCATTTTAAAAAAGGAAGTTATGCTGCCTCACCCTGTACAAAGGGAAAGACTCATAATCACTCCTGGCCTCCAGCACAGAGCTCTGGGGACAGGAGAAATCATTGAAGACAAATACATTCTTACAGGGAGATTTCTGGGAGTTGTAGGCCAAAACACCCAGGGACCACAGGTTGAGAACCACTAGTCTACATTATTGGGTTGTTGTATGTTTTGAAAACCACTACTTTCAGGCTATATGGCCATGATCTAGAGGAACTCTCTCCTGACGTTTTGCCTGCATCTATGGCAAGCATCCTCAGAGGTAGTGAGGTCTGTTGGAACTAGGAAAAAGGGTTTATATATCTGTGGAATGACCAGGGTGAGACAAAGGACTCTTGTCTGCTGGAGCTAGGTGTGAATGTTTCAACTGACCACCTTGATTAGCATATATTGACAGTGCCTAGAGCAAACTTTTGTTGGGAGGTGATTAGATGTCCTTGTTGTGCTGTTGTAATTTTTGAGTTTTTTATACTGGTAGCCAGATTTTGTTCATTTTCATGGTTTCTTCCTTTCTGTTGAAATTGTCCACATGCTTGTGGATTTCAATGGCTTCTCTGTGTGGTCTGACATGATGGTTGTGAGAGTGGTCCAGCATTTCTGTGTTCTCAAATAAAATGCTGTGTCCAGGTTGGTTCATCAGGTGCTCTGCTATGGCTGACTTCTCTGGTTGAAGTAGTCTGCAGTGCCTTTCATGTTTCTTGATTCTTGCTTTGTTTGCTGCAGACAGGCAGATGCAACTTGACAGCCTGTTTCTCCAGCCTTCCTTCAACATCTTCCCAGAGCTGATGCTGCTCAAAAAAATTCCAGCTAATCAGAGGAGGTGAAAAGAGATAGATGAGTGTAAAAAGACTTTATACAAAGGTGCTTTTGTATCTGAAGCTTTGTTGACAGAGGTATGCCTATATACAGGCAGTCCCCTGAGTTACCTCACTACCTCTGAGGATGCTTGCCATAGATGCAGGCGAAACGTCAGGAGAGAATGCCTCTAGACCATGGCCATATAGCCCGAAAAACCTACAACAACCCAGTGATTCCGGCCATGAAAGCCTTCGACAATACAGTCTACATTATGCTGCTGTTTCTCTGAAAGGTGCAGAGAAGTTCCTTGATGAGGAATGGAAGAGTTCCTTAAAGGAAGAATGTTTTGAACACCACTACTTTACTGTGTCAGTAAGCTTTTCTTCCCTTCTTCTACTGTACAGCCAATCCATGCGGTTGGCCAGGTATCTCACTCCAGCTTTCCCCAAGTTTCAGAATGTCTACTTTGTACATCAGTCTTTAACACTTATTTCTCGAAGGCCTGAAAGTCCATTTGTTGTTTTGGGATTCAAGCTCTGTCCTCAAAGAGATGAACGTACTTTCAGTGTTCGTTGAAGAAGCTTGTAGTGAGAACTGAGCCGAGCTCTTGTTTTCTAGCATTCCGCTGCATTGTTCCTCACACTTCTCTTTCTCATTCTTTACCTTTTTTTGTAATAATGTTTTTTTTAACATTTTAAATGAACTGCTTACACTCCGCCTCCTGTATAAATACTGTAATGCTGTCTACTGTGTCTCTTAGTGACCAAGTGAATTATTGTGGTTTCCCCCTTTAAATTACATGTGTCTTTAATGCAGCCACACACACACACCCAGGGTGAGACTGTAGTAACAAAAGCCTGTGTGACTCTCGGTGTCTCCCTTGGAGTGGCTGCCTTCTCAGCGCTGTTTCAACAAAGGGGTCCTTTGTGTGTGGGAACAATTTCTGGTTTGGCTGCTACTTCAGGACAGGCAGTGCTTTTGTTCCAACTAAATTCCATAAAGCGACTACTTTTAGACACGAGGTTAACAATCTTTTGAGACATACTTTTCGAAACAAAAAAGATGCCTCTTCTCCCCAGCCAGCCAATAGAGCCCAAAGATTCATTGCCCCAGGTGTTAGCGACCACAAAGTAGCTGTTCATCCCATTTACAAAGGTGACAAGACTTCACCAATCCATCCGTCACAACTGCTCATTTTAATTTCATACTGCTTGTTATGTGCCTTACTAGCCGTCCCCTGCCACGCGTTGCTGTGGCCCACATGGGGGTTCTGTGTGGGAGGTTTGGCCCAGTTCTATCGTTGGTGGGGTTGAGAATGCTCTGTGATTGTAGGTGAACTATAAATCCCAGGAACTACAACTCTCAAATGTCAAGATTCTATTTTCCTCAAACTCCACCAGTGTTCACATAGGAATTCATTCACAGAACAGTTTGAGGGACTGTGACC